GAGAGCCTTGAAATTGCTTCACAGAACCCCAAGACGGCCCCAAGAGAGCTCCGAGGGGACCCCAAGAGGCTCCCGAGGGGACCCCAAGATGCTCCCAAGACGGCCTCAGGCAGCCTCAAGAGAGCTCCAAGACGGTCCAAGGCCTCCCGGACGCCCCGTGACGGCCCAAACTGTCCCCAAGACGTCCCAAAACGCTCCCAGAGCAGCCCAAATTAGCCTGGCGAAGGACCCAACCATATGCAGTTGTGAATGCCGCAATTGTGCTGGGTGGTGCGGACGCATGCGGGCGGTGCCACTGGGACCTTCGGTGGAGCTCCCTATGGGGCCACGAAGCGCTGTACTGGGTGGGCGAGACGCGGTCAGCAAGGGCTGTGCTGCGTGGTGGCGGACGCATGCGAGCGGTGCCACTGGGACCTTCGGTGGAGCTCCCTATGGGGCCACGAAACGCTGTACTGGGTGGGTGAAACGCAGGCAGGGAGCAAGGGCTGCGCAGGGTGGTGGCGGACGCATGCGGGCGGTGCCGCTGGGACCTTTGGTGGAGCTCCCTATAGGGCTACGAAGCGCTGTTCTGGGTGGGTGAAGCGCAGGGAACAAGGGCTGTGCTGGGTGGTGGCGGACGCAAGCGGGCAGTGCCACTGGGACCTTTGGTGGAGCCCCCTATGGGGCCACGAAACGTGCGAGGGGTGTGCCAGAATGGGGTGTGGAACCGCATGCCAGCGCAGCCACTGGGGCCTTCGGTGGAGCTCCCTATGGAGCCACGAAACGTGTGAGGGGTGTGCCGAAATGGGGGGTGGAACCGCATGCGAGCGCAGCCACTGCGGCGTTCGGTGGAGCTCCCTATGGGGCCACGAGACGTGTGAAGGGCGTGCCGAAAAAGGGGGTGGAACCGCATGCGAGCGCAGCCACTGGGGCCTTCGGTGGAGCTCTCTATGGGGCCACGAACCGTGTGAGGGGTGTGCCGAAATGGGGGGGGGAACCACATGCGAGCGCAGCCACTGGGGCGTTCGGTGGAGCTCCCCATGGAGCCACCCACGAAGCGTGTGAGGGGTGTGCCGAAATGGGGGGTGGAACCGCATGCGAGCGCAGCCACTGGAGCGTTCGGTGGAGCTCCCTATGGGGCCACGAAACGTGTGAGGGGTGTGCCAGAATGGGGGGTGGAACCGCATGCGGGCGCAGCCACTGGGGCCTTCGGGGAGCTCCCTATCCACGAAACGTGTGAGCTCCGCATAGCCACTGGGGCCTTCGGTGGAGCTCCCTATGGGGCCACGAACGTGTGAGGGGTGTGCCAGAATGGGGGGTGGAACCGCATGCGGGCGCAGCCACTGGGGCCTTCGGTGGAGCTCCCTATGGGGCCACGAAACGTGTGAGGGGTGTGCCAGAATGGGGGGTGGAACCGCATGCGGGCGCAGCCACTGGGGCCTTCGGTGGAGCTCCCTATGGGGCCACGAAACGTGTGAGGGGTGTGCCAGAATGGGGGGTGGAACCGCATGCGGGCGCAGCCACTGGGGCCTTCGGTGGAGCTCCCTATGGGGCCACGAAACGTGTGAGGGGTGTGCCAGAATGGGGGGTGGAACCGCATGCGGGCGCAGCCACTGGGGCCTTCGGTGGAGCTCCCTATGGGGCCACGAAACGTGTGAGGGGTGTGCCAGAATGGGGGGTGGAACCGCATGCGGGCGCAGCCACTGGGGCCTTCGGTGGAGCTCCCTATGGGGCCACGAAACGTGTGAGGGGTGTGCCAGAATGGGGGGTGGAACCGCATGCGGGCGCAGCCACTGGGGCCTTCGGTGGAGCTCCCTATGGGGCCACGAAACGTGTGAGGGGTGTGCCAGAATGGGGGGTGGAACCGCATGCGGGCGCAGCCACTGGGGCCTTCGGTGGAGCTCCCTATGGGGCCACGAAACGTGTGAGGGGTGTGCCAGAATGGGGGGTGGAACCGCATGCGGGCGCAGCCACTGGGGCCTTCGGTGGAGCTCCCTATGGGGCCACGAAACGTGTGAGGGGTGTGCCAGAATGGGGGGTGGAACCGCATGCGGGCGCAGCCACTGGGGCCTTCGGTGGAGCTCCCTATGGGGCCACGAAACGTGTGAGGGGTGTGCCAGAATGGGGGGTGGAACCGCATGCGGGCGCAGCCACTGGGGCCTTCGGTGGAGCTCCCTATGGGGCCACGAAACGTGTGAGGGGTGTGCCAGAATGGGGGGTGGAACCGCATGCGGGCGCAGCCACTGGGGCCTTCGGTGGAGCTCCCTATGGGGCCACGAAACGTGTGAGGGGTGTGCCAGAATGGGGGGTGGAACCGCATGCGGGCGCAGCCACTGGGGCCTTCGGTGGAGCTCCCTATGGGGCCACGAAACGTGTGAGGGGTGTGCCAGAATGGGGGGTGGAACCGCATGCGGGCGCAGCCACTGGGGCCTTCGGTGGAGCTCCCTATGGGGCCACGAAACGTGTGAGGGGTGTGCCAGAATGGGTGTGGGAGGGGGAGGAGGGGGGAGGAAGGGGAGGAGGAGGAAGGAGGAGGAAGGAGGAACGCGGGGCGACGTCTCTTCAAAACGAGGACCCAACACCACAGGATGGTTGGGAAAAAGCTTCAGAATGGCCCGAAAAAGACCCCCACAAGGACCACCAAGCAGGCCCAGAGACGCCCCAAGGCCGTCCAAGGGCTCCGGCAAGGGCCCCAAGACAGCTCAGGAGGAGGGCTCCAAGACAATTTCGGAGGAGCTCAAGACGGCCCAAGCGAGCCCCAAAACGGCCCGAAAGAGCCCCCAGGAGCCCCTAAACGAACGGGTCCCAAGAGCCGTCCAAGAGGGCTCACGGAGAGCTCCGAGAAAGCCCAAGAGCCCCAACATGGCCCCAATGCGGCCCCAGAGGCCGTCCAGACGGTTTCGGCGGCCAAACATCGTGCGCTTTCGATGGTTTTTGCCTGATTCAGGTTCTGGCGATTTCGAGCCAAGTGCCAAGTCCGGCCCAAGACGTCTCCGAGCGCTCTAATGTCGTCCAAGAGGATCCGGCAGGAGCCCCAAGACGCTTCAGAAGTGCTCCAAGACGGCTCCTGAAGGAACCCAAACCGGCCCAAGAAAGACCTAAGATTGCGCGGTGTTCCGACCTACTTTAGCCTTGATCACCAGAAAGAATTTCGAGCACCAGAAAAGTACCGAAACTCGAGGGTTATCACGTGTCGGGCCCTGGGAGACCTCGTCCGACATTGTTTCGACACTGTCTCGACACTTTTTCCTCGCTTTTCCGGGTGCTCGAAATTATTTCTGGGATGTGGTCCTTAAGTGCGATGGGAGCAACATAACGCTAGAGAGCCCCCGGAAGCCCTCAGGCGGGCCCCAGGAGCCGCCCAAGCAGGCTCACAGGAGAGCTGCGAGACGGGCAGACCCCCAGTGCGGCCCTTGCACGGACGGCCCCAGAGGCCGTCCAGACAGGCCGAGGCAAGCAAGCAAGACGCAGTGTGTCCAAAAGGCACGTGAGCAGTACTCTTATTCAGCCACATCCGCAGCCTCGAGGTGAGGCAAGGCGAGCCGAAAACGAGGAGCGAGAGGGAAAGGAGAGAGGAGGCGGAGGGAGGGGACGAGGAGCGGAGGGAGACGGAGAAGAAGGAGCCAGGACGGCGGACTGGCGAGAGCAAACGAAATCATTAATTTCTTTGCTATCGAAAGATTTCCTCGTTCTCGCCATATCGATCCATGACCTGCCTGAGACGGCTGCTGGGGCTCCCCCGAACGCTCCAAGGCCGCCCAAGAGGATCTGGAAAAGGCCCCCGAAACCACCCAGGAGGGCTCCAAGACGGCCCAGGAGGCGCCCAAGATGGCCCACGCGCCGCCCAAGACGGCCCGACGACAGCCCGAGAGGAGCCCAAGACGACCCCAAAGCGAGGTGCCCAAGACGGCCCCACGTCACCCTCAAGATCCCATACGAGGCCCGAGGATACTTCCGGACGGCCCCCACGAGAGCCCCAAGAGGCTTCTGAGCTGCTCCCAGAGAAGTACGGCGGACGATAGCTCTCAACTGATGGGCTTGTTTTCCACCACCACCACCATAAGTTGGAGGGGGGAAGGAGGAGGAGGAGGAGGAGGAGGAGGAGGAGGAGGAGGACCCCCTCCCCCTCCAACTGATGGTGGTGGTGGTGGAAAACAGGCCCATCATCAACGGTCTGGGGGCCCTGTACGCTTCTGTCCGGCGGGGCGTCGTCGTAGGACCTCTGCGAGCTCCCAGCGAAGACCGAAAGGATGCAGGCTTCGAGCCAGGACGAGGCTAGCTGGCCAGAGTCCACGGGCGAGCCCTAGGAATCGCAGAACGGCCCAAGACCTGCTTGCTGGGAGCTCCCCGCTCCGCCTAGAACTGGGAGCTTGCTGGGAGCTGGCCAGAGTCCACGGGCGAGCCCTAGAATCGCAGGCCTAGAGGTTGACGCCAACACCAAGATCGGCGGCGTGCCTCCACCGAGGGAGGACGATGCCGATCTCGGTGATGGTGGTAATATTCTGGCTTCCAGGGTGGCCGAAATATTGCCACCAACACCGAAATCCAGGATCATCTTCCCCCTGTGGAGGCAATCCCTTGTGTTGGTGTTGGTGCCCATTTCCAGGCCTCCAATAGAAATCTCAGAACGGCCCAGGACCTGCTTGCTGGGAGCTCCCCGCTCCGGGGGGACTCTGGCCGACTGAGCCTTCAGCGGGTACCGCGACGACAGCAGCCTCTCCGCTGGGCGTTCGTTGGCCGCCCTTCTTCCGCACCGCGCAAAGGGGTGCCAGGAGGACAGGGAAAGGCTGGTTGAAAGGCAGGATGCTTCTCGGTCGCCATCGAAGGCGTTCTGAAAGCCCATCGGGGGTCATGTAGAAAGCAGCCTGCCTTCTACGAAGCCTTCCTTCCTTCCTTCCCCGGTGCCCGTTTGTGCGCAGCCCACATGCCCGACATCCCGTCGTCGCGAACGAGCGAAAGAAAAGGATGCACACGCTGAACGCAGAACACGCTGGATGATGTGGACGGAGTCCCCCGCTCAGCCCTGGTCAGCTACAGCGCTGGGATCAGCGCGTGCGAGAAGTGCGGGCAGTGGCAGCGAGCGCTTGCGCTGCTGAGCGAGATGTGGGAGGCGAAGCTGGAGCCCAACGCCGTCTCCTCGCAGGCCCAGGGGTTGGCACCAACACCAAGATCGGCAGTGTGCCTCCACCGAGGAAAGACGATCCCGATCTCGGTGATGGTGGTAATATTCTGGCTTCCAAGGTGGCCGAAATATTGCCACCAGCGCTAGAATCGAGGATCATCTTCCCCAGGTGGAGGCCACGCCCTGTGCTGGTGTTGGTGCCCATTTCCAGGCCTCCAACCTCCACTACACTTCTGGTCGCGGCGCGTGCGGGAAGGAAGATCTGCGGCAGCGCCCCGGGCCACGCGGGGGGCCCGCGGGCAGCCCGGAGAGCCTCCGGGGGCGCTCCTCGAGCGCTCGCCGACTGCTCCAGGGACCCTCAGATCGCCCCAGGACGGCCGCACAGACGCCCACGAGGGCCGAAGCCGACCCGACTGGCGAAAAAGGCTTCGGAGACGGCCCCTGAGGACCGCCTGGACGGCGCCGAGGGGCAAAACTTGTGCGTTTTCCGATGGTTTCGAGGGCTTTCCTGTTCCCGCCATTTCGGGCCCACAACGGTCCAGGATGGCCCTGGGGGCTTCTCACATCGCCCCTGCACGGTCCAAGAGGGCCCCAGGACGGCCCCCAGACGGCCCAAGAATGCCCGTAGACTGCCCAAGGGGGCCCTCAGACGGCCCAAGAGAGCTTCAAGTGACTCCCAAGTCAGCCCCAACCGGGCCCCAGACCCCGCCCGAGAGGGTCCAAAGCGACCTCCGAGACGGCCGGAGACCCCCAAGATGGCCCCGAGACGCCCCAAGAAGGGCCCAAGATGCCGCCCAAGAGGGCCCGAGACCCCCAAGATGGCCCCAAGACCTCCCTGCGCGGCCCCCAACCGGGGCCCGCAAACGTGCCCCCCTCACTCTGGTTGTGCCTGAGAACCCCCTGTGTTTCTGCCCGTCGCGCCTAGGCCCGGCGCGATTACGGTCGGGGCCCTGAAGAAGGAACCCTTCTCGGTGGGGAGGGGCTCCGTGTTCCTTGATTGCTCCACAGTTTGCCTTGGGTTTTCCTCTGATTTTCGATGGGAAGGAAATCGAAGTTCAACTTGTGGATAGAAGGGGCCTCGTTCCTTATTTAGGGTTCCTTGGGTTAACGCCCCGATTGTAGCAAAAACCCAGTTCTTTTCACGCTTCCAGGTCAGTGCCCCCGGAGCTCCCCGACAGCTTTCCGGGTTGGCTCCCAGGCGTGGCCTCTTCAACGTCGGCTTCACGCGTGGCCCCAAGCGGGGCGGCCCCCACACACAAAGCCTCCGAAGGCTGCCCCTGCAGCCCCAGTAAGCGTGGCCCCCGAACGTCACCCCCACGCGTAGCCCCCAGGCGCCCCCAAACGTAGCCCCCACACACAGCCCCCAACCGTTGCCCTCAAACGTGACCGTCACATGTTCCTTTGAAGGTCGCCCCTGCCGCCCCAGGGACACCCGAGTTGTTCAGCTTCGACGAGCTGGTCACCTGCGGTGTGCGAATCCCAGACACAGCACGCCGTAGATTTAATCCACGGGTTCACACTAGTCAGCTACTGCGCTGGGATCAGCGCGTGCGAGAAGGGATGGCAATGGCAGCTGGCGCTGGCGCTGCTGAGCGAGATGTGGGAGGTGAAGTTGGAGCCTGACGTCATCATCTACACCGCTGGAATCAGCGCTTGCGAGAAGTGCGAGCAGTGGCAGCGAGCGCTTGCGCTGCTGGGCGACATGTGGGAGACGAAGCTGAAGCCCAACTTCGTCTCTCCTATAATGCAGCGTTCACCGCTCGCCAACCTGTTGAGCAGTGGCAGCGGGCCGGCCCCCTCTAGCGGCCACCGGCGCGGCCCCGGGGCCCCGGCGCGCTTCCAGGATGGCTTAAGAGCGCTCCGAGCCGCCCCCGGAGGCCCCCAAGAGGGCCCCAAGAGGGCCCGAAGACGGTCCAAGAGGGCCTCCGAGCCTGGCCCCGAGCGCTCGAAGACGCCCAAGACAGCCGCCCGACGGCCCAAGAGGCCCCCAAAATGGTCCAAGTGGGCTCCAGAGAGAGTCCCAAGAGAGCCCGAACAAGGAACAATCGTCCCAATCCCAAGGGAAACCGTACATTTCGGCAGCTCCCGTGCTTTTCGTCTTCGAAGCGTTCAAGACGGCCACAGAGGCCCTCAAGATCGTCCCAAGACGCCTCAGGAGGCTGTCAGGAGGGCCCCAAGACGGCTCAAGAGTGCGCCAGGACGGTTCCTCAGGCGCACATGGCGGTTCCAAGAGGAGGCCAGGACAGGGTGGGAGCGCTCCCGAGGGGCCCCAAGAGGGGGCCAAGAGGGCCCCATGATGGCCCCGACAAGGCCCCAAGACGCATGTACTTGGGCGCCCATCTCGCAAGCCCAAGAAGCATATCAAGTTCATGCGGTTTGGGGCCCTCTTGGGGCCCCCTTGGGGCGCTCTTGCGGCCCTCTTGAGGCCTTCGGGCCCCTCCAAGACATGGCCGGTTGCATTCTGCCACAGAAAAGCCTCTCTGTGGGCCCGCGCACAGCGGCGTCCTGGGGCCCTCTTGGAGCCCTCTTGGACCCAAGGCAGCCCTCAAGACGGCCACAGACGGCCCGAAGACGGCAGGCGCCCAAGACGGCCCACGACGGCCCCAACACGGCCCCGAAGGCACGCAAGACAGCCCCAAGAGCCGCCAAGACGGTCCAAGACGGCTCCCGGACGGCCCAAGAGGCGCTCAAAACGGCCCAAGACGGTTCCGAGACGGCCCAAACGGCACCGCTGAGAGCCCACGAGGGGCCCCAGAGGCCCCCTCGAAGCCCAAAAGAAGCCCCAAGAGGCCCCCACACGGCCCCGAAGGGACCCTAAGTGACTAACCGTGGGATCATCGCGCAGGGGCGCCGCGCGCCCGAACTACCTCCCCGCAAGCGTTCCGTGTCTCGCCGCCGCCGCCGCCGTCATCGTCCCCGTCGGGCGGCGCCAGCAGGCGCCACGGAGCGTTACAGTGCAGCTCGGGGCGCTGCTGCGGAAGTGGCGGATAGCCTTTCGGTACTATTCCCGCCACTCTCCCTACAGGGCTGGACCTAAACGGTGTTTTGGCCATCTCGTGGGCCGTTTTGTTTTTCGTTTTGGTTTGCATTCAAGGCGAAGCGAAGGTGAAACGAGGAATGACAAACGACAGCACGAAAACGGAAAACACCGCTCAGGTTCAGCCCTGCCCCCGTAGAGTACTCTTGGCCAGATGCCCTGGACGGCCTCCTCCTCCTCTTCCTCCTCCTCCTCCTCCTCCTCCTCCTCGTCCCTCCTTCCCCTGCGCGTGCCAGCAGGACACACTGTCTACGCCCGCCCGGCCCGCGGCGGCGGCGCCTTTGTGGCCCCGCCAGTGCAGCGACGCCGCCCTGGCCCAGGAGAGCCCCGCGAGTGCCCAGGAAGGCCCCCAGAGAAGGAGGAGGAGGAGGAGGAGGAGGAGGAGGAGGAGGAGGAGGAGGAGGAGGAGGAGGAGGAGGAGGAGGAGGGGGACCCAGACCTCCTCGCGTCGTGAAAAAATCACGACGGGAGGTTTTTCGCAATTTTCGGCCTCCCGGGGGCCCTTCCCGGGCCTCGGGGCCGTCAAAAAACGACCCGGGACGCAGAGCCGGTCCCGGAGAAGGGGTCCAGACCTCTGGGGGTCGACGTTGTGAAAAGTCACGACGTCGGGGGTCTGGGGAGCGCTCCCCTGCTGCGCAAGAGGGCTCCCGGACGGCCCGAGAAGGCTCCCACCAGGCTTCGCCCGACTCCCGGATGGCATCCTCCTCTGGCGGTCGCGTCTGCGGCCGGAAGACGCACAAGCCACCCCGAGAAGCCTGCCGGATCGTCCGGGGGGCGCCCGGGGAGCTTCCAAGATAGCTCCGACGGCTTCGAAGAGCCTCGAGACGGCTCCGGGGACTCCCAAGACGGCCGAACGGCCTCCCAAGACGACCCCAAGGGAGGCCCAACAGGGCCCACTCTGGAACGCTCTCTCCCCCCTCGCGCCCCTCCAACGGCCATCAAGCCCCTTCCTGCCCCCGATGGGCTGGCTCCAAGACGGCCTCCGGGACACTCCCCAGAGGTTCCCGGGGAAAACCTCCAGCAGCTCCGCCGAAACGGCTCAGACATGCTGCTACAAGGGCCCAGTCCACTAGAGCAAGTGACCCCCCACGGGCTCCTCGCCAGCCTCCAGCAGCTCCCACCGAGATGCTCCGATGGGCTCCTGGAAAGCACCAGCTCATGGGAAGGAGCCATACCCCCCCCACACACCTCTTGTTACAACTCTCGCGCGGGGGGGGGTGCAGAAGATAACTGTCAGATCCAGCCTGCGGTCACCTGGGAACGCTGCTTCTATGACCCGTCCCGCGCCGAGTGTGTCCCAAGAGGCGTGGGGTGTGGCTTTTCCCGTCGTCATACTTGGCATCTTACTTCTCCTCCCCGTCGTCGCTCTCCTCCCCCACAGGCGCTCCTGCCCGCAGATTCGGAACCGCACGATTTCCAGGAGGAGGAGGACGAGGAGGAGGAGGGAGGAGGAGGAGGAGGAGGAGGAGGGAGACGCTGCTCGGAGCGAGAAACGCAGAAACGCAGGAGGAGGAGGAGGAGGAGGAGGAGGAGGAGGAGGAGGAGGAGGAGGAGGGGAGGAGGAGGAGGAGGAGGACGAGCCAAGCACGAAGAGAAGCAAGGGCGGAGGAGGAGGAGGCGGAGGAGGAGGAGGAGGGATGAGGATGAGGATGAGGAGGAGGAGGAGGAGGAGGAGGAGGAGGAGGAGGAGGAGGAGGAGGAGGAGGATGAGGAGGAGGAGGATGGAGGAGGATGAGAGAGGATGAGGATGAGATGAGGAGGAGGATGAGGATGAGGATGAGGATGATGATGATGATGAATGATGATGATGATGATGATGATGATGATGATGATGATGGATGCTGATGATGATGATGCTGATGCTGATGATGATGATTATGATGATGATGATGATGATGATGATGATGATGATGATGATGATGATGATGATGATGATGATGATGATGATGATGATGAACGATGAACGATGATGGTGGTGGTGATGATGATGATGATGATGATGATGATGATGATGATGATGATGATGATGATGGATGTGCTTGCTCGGGAATGTTGTCTGCGGTCCTATCGCCGTCGTTCCATTGACACCATCGCTCAAGTTTTTCCGGCTATGCAAGTAGCCCGCGCCACGATCCTGGAGCTCGCGCGCGGGGTCATCACCGGGACGGGCGGCATTGTGGGGCGCTGGCCAGCCGTGCCCAGCCTGCGCCCCAGTCCTGCACTGCCCCGCCGTGCCGGCGACCACGTGCGTCTGTGAGACGCCGTCGCCGCTGGCGGTGGCCGGCGCGGTGACGGTGTTGGCGCTGCTGGTCGTCACCGCGTACGTGTTGGGTGCCGTGCGGGGGCTCCCGACCGTCGAGCGGCGCTCGGCGTACGAGTCGGGCCCGACAGTCTTGGCGAAGGAGGCGGCCCCGTCGCTCGAGGAGCAGGCTCGGACGCAGCTGTCCTTCGCGCGGAGCCGCGGTGCTGCATCTCGAGAGTGCTGCCGCGGAGTCATTACGAGGAGTCGTGCACCGTCGGGCTCGACTTCGTCAGTGTGCACGTTTTGTCGTACGCTAGGGGGGCGCCGCCTGGGGTCGCAGCTGGACAGGTCTACGGTTTCCGTGCGGCGCCGGCCCAGGCGATGATCGACGCCTTCGCGATGCTCGGGGCTCACCACCTGGGTGTGCCGTGCGTGCCGCTGCCGCTCGTGTGCCACTTCAACCCGCCCGGCGGTGATGCCGGCGCGGCTGCGGCCGCGGCGGCCCGCGCAGCACCAGGTGCAGCGCCGCCTGCCGGGGCGGCCGCGGCCTTGGTGCCCGCGGGGGGCGCGCCGCCTGCCCCAGGAGGCGGAGGCCTCTTGCCCCCTGGTGGCGCCGCCGCGGGCGCGGCCGCTGGCGCAGCCGCCGGCGCCGCGCTTGGAATCCCGCCCGGGTTGGGTGGAGGCGGCGCCGCCGCTGCGGCCGCGCTGGGCGGCATGCTGGTGCTTCCGCCCGGGCTCAGCTGGCACGCCGTGGGAGATCGTGGAGGGTACTCGATGGGCGACGTCGTGTGCCACCAACTGCCGCCCGGCGCCCTCCTCCACGTGGCGGGCGTCTCGGTGGCGGTGGCGCAGCTCTCTGCTGTGGACGCGCTGGTGCTGGCCAAGGGTGATGCTCGCACGTTGGCTGTCAGATATGATGTCCAGGGCGAGCGCCGTCGCACATGGGACGTCGCGCTGGCCCACTCGTCGGGTGAGCACATGCCTTGGGATCTTCAGGGCCCTCGCGCCGTCCTCTGGTTCAAGAAGCACGTGCGGGACAACGGCAACAGCGCCTTCCACTCGCACGAGAACTGGGTGCGCCTCTCGAAGGTGCCGCCGGGGGATCGGAGCATCTCTACGAGCGTGAGGTTCTCAGCCGCATCCTCGACGCAGCGGCGATGCAGGATCAGTTGAACTGCCCGTCTCTCCTACGCATGGAGCGGGCCTCGCGACGTCTCGCGCTGATCAAGGAGGCGCACCGAGTCTCGCCGAGCCAGCCCGACAACAGCGCTGCCGACCAATTCGCGGGCTGGAGTCGCCGCGCGGGGGGCGCGGCCATCGCGCCCAGCCTTTCGGCCCACGTCGCAGACCAGCTCAGGCAGGAGTCGGCGATCTTGAAGGGGGGCTAGGAAGGCGCGGGAGGAGACCAACGCGAGGGCCAAGGGTCGCGGCAAGACAGAGGGCGCGGC